GAGGTTGATGAGGAGAGACGAGGAGAACAGGAGAAGACGGAATACATGGAGGGATAATGTGGGGGAGGACGACGACAGTGAAGATAACGTCGGAAGATAAGCAGAGAAGACGGAATAAGAGGAGGAGGAAGAGGAGGCGGAGGAGGAAGAGGAGGCGGAGGAGGAAGAGAAGAAAGGAAGAGGAGAGACACGAAGAGCAGGGTAGAAATGAAGAAGTTGGAGCTGGAGAGGAGAGGAGGGGTGTAGCCTTTCCCGTGCTCCCGATGCTCAGCATCCTCTGTATGTGTGTCTATTTCTCTCTCTCTCTCTCTCTCTGTTTCTCTCTCTCTCTCTCTCTTTCTCTCTCTCTCTCTCTCTCTCTCTCTCTCTCTCTCTCTCTCTCTCTCTCTCTCTCTCTCTATATATATATAGCACGTTCTCTCTCTCTCTCTCTCTGTCTCTATCTCTCTCTCTCTCTCTCCCTCTTTCTCATGATATCTGTATTTATATGTCTCTCTCTCTTTCTCTTTCTCTCTCTCTCTCTCTCTCTTTCTCTGTCTCTCTCTCTCTCTCTCTCTCTCTCTCTCTCTTCTCCCGACCTACACGTTAATATAATGTACATGTGTGACCCATGTGTGGGGCGCATGTATGGGGCGCATGCCTCTGTATACACACATAAATGCGTATCATATGTGCACATATACATGTACATATATGTGTACGTGTGAATGTATGTGTGGATGGACGTGTGCATGTGTATGTATGTATGTATGTATGCACGTACGTATGTATGTTCGTTCGCACACACGCACGTAAGCATGCACGCACGCACGGACGTACGTATGTATGTACGTGCTTGCGTGCGTACGTATGAATGTATGCATGTATGTATGTATGTATGTATGTATGTATCAATGCATGTATTTTGACATTCCCCTAACAGCTGTTGCAGTTAGGAGTTCTGCTTTTTATTCGAAGGAACGGGGCTTGCCTGTGGGTTCGGCGGCTATGTTGCCACCCCGTCGCCGCCCAGTCGCCACATCGTCGCCGCCCGTCGCCTGGGCCTGTCTGTCGGTCTGGCGGCTATGTTGCCATCGTCGCCACCCCGTCACCGCCCGTCGTCTGGGCCTGTGTGACGGTCTGGCGGCTATATTGCCGCCGTCGCCGCGTCGTCGCTGCACAACATCGATTCTCCTTAGATATACACACACAAGAAAGGTTTTATGGATCCACTTGTTTGCATTGCAACTTACATGTGATTCTGTCCCATCGTCCATCCGAAATACGAACTCGAACCATCCCAACCCAGCTGGTATCGACCCACCCCCCGCCATCCCCTGCAAAAAAATATGCGCGCACATTCGTTTATCAAAAAACATAAGTTTGCATGAATCCCTTTCAATAAAGTGCACACGCGCGCGTCGTCGAGCGCGCATGCCGAAATGGTTTGAAAACCTGCGGCTTCGTCACGATTTCAAAACCGACTGTCAAACAAATATGAAACACAAGGTTTCGAAACACTGATTGTTATACATGTATGTAAACTACATTTCCCGAGAAGAACAAAAAACAAAACAAAACAAAACAAGAAAAACTTGCTCGCGAGCCCTTGCGAGTTCTTAGGAAAATCAGCGTTGTTTCAACATGTTCCGAAAATGTTACCAAGCGGGCTTCGCGCGCGCATGTCGGAATTGTTCGCACGCCCTGGCGCGCGTGCTGCGGTGGCACGATGCATGTCAAATAATACCATGCGGGCCACTCTCGCGCGTCTGACGCGCACGCATTTCGAAGTCTTTCCAAGACTTTCATGACCGACGCGAAGGCGCCGTCATCGTCGCCGGCGTGATCAGCATCGGCACCTTCACTGAATGCCCCGTCGTCGCTGTCAGCATCGTCACCAGCACCGCTACTGTCATCATCGTGTCTACCGTTGTCGACATTGCCATGATACCGCGCCCGCCCAACTCGAGGACTCGCACCCAAGTGCCCGCTCGGATGTGCCGAGCGGTCAACGCCACCGCGTTCGCGCCGGTCGCGCCAAAATAGCGGGCCGCTGTTCGCGCGAGCATGCGCGGGCTAGCGCGGCCGCAGAGATGCACCAGCCAACACCAAACACTCATCGCAATCGCGCCCGCATGGGTTTTGCAACCAAGTTGCGGGTGGGTGGGTGGGATGATTGCGCGAGCAGCGGAGTTTGACATGTTCAAATAAAATGCGCGCGCGCCCAAGCGAAATCTTGTGAAAACCATGCGTTTTTACCCAAAGTTTCTCATCATATGACACCAAGCGGGCGCACGTCGAAATCATTCGGACGCACTTGCGCGCTCGCTGGGGGGGCACGATCCCTTTCAAATAATACCATGCGGGCCACTCGCGGCCGTCGACCGCGCGTGCATGTCGAAATCCGTCCGAAAACATGATCACCGACACGAAGACACCATCATCGTTAGCGCGTCGTCGCGCGCGCACGCCGAAATCCTTCAAAAACCTTCGGTTTCGGAAGGATTTCAAAATCGAGTACTCCAAAAAAACAGGTACAATCACAAAAACCAAAACGTGCGCGCGCCCTTGCGGATTCTTAAGGAAACCATAGGTTCTTCAACATGTTCAGTAAATACTACAGAACGGGCTTCGCGCGCGCGTGCCGAAATCGTTCGAACGCCTTTGCGCGCGTGCCGTCGCGAAAACCCTTTGCAACAAATGGATCGAAGTGCACGCGCGCGCGTCGTCGCGCGCGCATGCCAAATCCCTTCAACAACCTTCGGTTCCGTAGCGACTTCAAGAGCGAAGGTCAAACAAACATTCAAAAAACACATGGTTTCGCAACATCAGTTGTTTGACCCCCCCCCCCAAAAAAAAAACAGAGGCGCGAGCTCTTGTGAATCTCAAGAAAACCATAAGTTGTCCAACATGTTCATGGAATTCTGCCAAGCCGTGCCAGTGGCGCCAAGCTAGCTGGCCGATGCGCGCGAGTGCTGGGGTTGGCGCGGCCGCAGAGATGCACCAGCCAACGCCAAGCATGCATCGCAATCGCCACCGCATGCGGGTGGGTGGGTGGGATGTCTGCAAGAGCATGGGATGTGTCAACCCGTTTATTAAAATCAATTGCACTCCATATATTGCCCAATATAGATTGCACCGCACATGCACTACATACATTGCATCCAACAGACGTCAGCACATAGATTCCCTTTGCTAGGGAATGCGGTTTTACCACGACCACCACCCAGGTTGATCGACCCGCCCTAGGATAGAACGACTCACATACGACTCTTCCACACCATTCATATTAAATAAGAGCTCGTACCATTCCAGGCGGGCCGTTATCGACCCCCCCCCCCTCACCCCTGCCAAATAAAACTGTATTTAAACATGACATGTTCAAGAAAATCTGCGCGCGCCCCAACGAATTCTTGCGAAAATCATACGGTCTAGCTGTCTCATCATATGAGACCAAGCGGACGCACATCAAAATCATTCGGACGCACTTGCGCGCCTGATGGGGGGGCACGACCCCTTTCAGATAATACAAATAGTACCATGCCGGCCACTCGGGCCCGTCGACCGCGCGCGCATGTAGAAATCCGCCCGGAAACCTTATCACCGACACGCGGACACCACTATAACCATCGGCGTGACCATCATCGGCGCCGTCATTGGCCTTGCGGTCGTCACCGTCAGTATCCTCACCAACGACGCTACTATCATCATCCTGTCTGCCTGTGCCGACGTTGCCATGATACCGCGCCCGCCCGACTCACCGACTCGCACTGAAGTGCCATCACATCAGCGCTGCCTGCAAGACGCGCTGGGAAACCCCCAGCGGTCAGCGCCAATGCGGCCGCGACGGTCGCGCCGAACTAGCTGGCCGCTCTGCGCGCGAGCCTGCGCGCACTAGCGCGGCCGCAGCGATACGCCAGCCAGCGCCAAGCAGTCATTTCAATCGCCGCCGCAGGGTTTTGCAAACCAAGCTGCGGGTGGGTGGGTGAGATGATTACGCGAGCAGTGGAATTGACAACTCACAAGTGCGCAAGAGTTAATCGTCCCACATAAATTACAGAACTTAGATCGCACCACATAGAATGCAGCACATCGATTGCACGAAACATAGATTGCACTACGAAAATTCAACCAAATATATTGCACTGCATATATTGGACCACATAGAATGCACAAAATGGATTGCACTACATAGACTGCACCACACAGGTTGCACCTTAGAGATTGCACCACAAATATATATATATATATATAGATATACATACATATATACATACATACATACATACATACATACATACATACATACATACATACATACATACATACATACATACATACATACAGACATACATACATACATACATACATGAAATGTGTGTATGTGTGTTGCTACAGGCACACAGCGTGGGGTCCACGTTGACTAACATCTTTATGTATATGTATATATATATATATATATATGCATGTCCACCTCCTCAAATCCTCCCTGTGTTGCTTCCACTGCCCTTCCTCCTCCTCCTCAGCAGCCCTCTCCTCTTCCTCCCGCTCATCCTCTGCCCTCTCCCATTCCTCCTCCTCCTCCTCCTCCTCCTCCTCCTCCTCCTCCTCATCCTCCTCCTCCTCCTCCTCCTCCTCCTCCTCCGCCACGCCACCCCCTTCCTTCCCCCCTGACCGCCTGCCCCTTGCACCCCTCTCCCCGTCCTCCCCCAACCCCATCTCCTCCTTCCTCACCGATCAAGGACGACATGTCTTCTTCACCACGGGGACCCCCAGGGGTCCAGGCCCCTTCTCTCGGACCGGTGTCTCGGCCCGGGTCGCGCTGTTCGACGGCCCCCGGGGACAGCTGAAGGCCCCAGAAGCCGAAAACGGCAAATTCCCCTCTTTCGCGAAGTGCTCCAGGACGCGAAGACCTGACTTTGACGACGATGAGGACGACGAGGACGACGACGACGACGACGACGACGACGACGACGACGACGACGACGACGACGACGACGACCGAAGGTCGGCCGCCCCGCCTGCGGAGGCGCCCCTCGAAGCCCTCGGCGCCGCCCTCCGCCGCACGGCGCTGGATGGCGGCCAGGGCCTCGTGGTACGCGGCGGCCACCGCCTGCCGAGCCGCGGGCGGCCACGGGCGGCGAGCGAGGGCGGCGAGCCACGGCGATCGAGGACGAGAGGCGAGGAGGCACGTCGAGGACGGCGAGCCACGACGAGGAGACGAGGAGGCACGTCGAGGGCGGCACGACGAGGAGACGATCCAGTCACGGCGAGCCACGGCGATCGAGGACGAGAGACGAGGAGGAACGTGACGACCTACCAGACCAGCCCCATATTTTGATCGATGGCCTCCAGGATGGGCCCAAGAGGCTCTCCAGGACTCCCAAGAGGGCCCCAAGAGAGCCCCAAGAGAGCCCCAAGAGGGTCCAGGAAGCGACCCAAGGGGCGCCAAGACGCCCCAAAAGAGCCCCAAGAGGACCCCACGACCCCTCAAAGAGCCTGAAGAGAGCCCCAAGATGCCCCAAACTATCCCCCCCAGAAGACCCCAGGACCGCCCCAAACAGCTCTTCCTCCTCCTCCTCCTCCTCCTCCTCCTCCTCCTCCCCCTCCTCCTCATCCTCCTCCTCCTCCTCCTCCTCCTCCTCCCTCCTCCTCCTCCTCCTCCTCCTCCTCCTCCTCCCCCTCCTCCCCCTCCTCCCCTCCTCCACCTCCTCCTCCCCCTCCTCCCCTCCTCCCCCTCCTCCTCCTCCTCCTCCTCCTCCTCCTCCTTCACCATATGTGTCTAGATTCCCTTGTCTCGTCAGCTCTCATGGGTAGGGTTTCTGAATCGACTACCTACCAGACAACCCCAACCCAACCCGAAGGCCCGAATTTGACCCGAATTTCGGGTTGGGGGGGGGGTACGGGTTCCATGTGTTTTTTCCATGTTCCCCGACCCCCCCCACTGGAAATGGGGGAAAGTTGAGGCATTCGGGTTGGGCTGGGGGCGTTTGGTGGGTGGTGGGAACGAGGAACGACGGAACGACCCAGGTCTAGCATCCGAGCCGAGGCCGACAGCTGGCCGAGAGGACGTGTGCAGCTCGGCTGCGCTCGGAAGGAGGAGGGCCCCGACGCCCGTGGAACGCGTGGAGGCGACCCGCGGCCCTAGGCACCCTCAACCTGCCGCAGCGCTGCGCGCCACCGCAGGCAGTGGCTGCCCATGCACACGGCTCCCGCCCTGCCAGGATCGCATTGGAGGAGGAGGAGGCGGAGGAGGAGGAGGAAGAGGAGGAGAAGGAAGAGGAGGAGGAGGAGGAGGAGGAGGAGGAGAGCGACGATGAGGACGACGTCAACGCTTCTCATCCTCCTCCTCCTTCCCAAAAAAGGCGGGGGAGCAGAGGAAAGGGGGGGGAGGAGGAGGAGGAGGAGGAGGAGGAGGAGGAGGAGGAGGAGGAGGAGGAGGAGGAGGAGGAGGAGGAGGAGGAGGGGGCGGAGCGCCAGTGACCCTGGGAGGGCGAGCAGGAGCGAGGGGGAGCGAGGAGGAGCGGGGGAGCCAGGGGCGGGGAACAGAAGGGGCGACGGGGGGGCAGATTACGCACGGGAGTAAGCCGTACTTGGCGGGACTGGACCAGAAGCAGCAGGAATGTGCCGAATTGAACAGATGTTGACCAAGGATCTACCAGCGACGACACTGAATTCAATCTCCCAGGAGTTGCATCCTAAAAGAGGAGGAAGAAGATGGCGACGACGAGGGGCGGGGCGACGAAGAGGAGGACGACGACGGCGAGCAGGACGACGACGAGGACGACGACGAGCGACGGTCGAGGATCGAGGACCGATGTTTGAGTTTTCCTGGTCCTCTTGGAGGCCTCCATAAACCTGCGGGTGATCTCGGGGAGCCTCACCTCCAGAGACCTCCAGGCGCGAGACGACGACGACGACGACGACGACGACGACGACGACGACGACGACGACGACGACGACGACGACGACGGCGGCGGCGGCGGCGGCGACGACGACGACCACGACGACGACGACGACGGCGACCGCTCGCCCGCCCACCCGCACGCCCGCCCGCCCGCCCGCCCCCCCGCCCGCCCGCCGACGGCGACGGTGACGACGGCGGCCACGAGGTGGAAGACGCCGACGACGGCAATGACGACGATGAGGACGACGTCAACGCTTCTCATCCTCCTCCTCCTTCCCAAAAAAGGCGGGGGAGCGGAGGGAGGAGGAGGAGGAGGAGGAGGAGGAGGAGGGGGGGGGGGCGGAGCGCCAGTGACCCTGGGAGGGGGAGCAGGAGCGAGGAGGAGCGAGGAGGAGCGGGGGAGCCAGGGGCGGGGAGCAGAAGGGGCGACGGGGGGGGGCCGGGAAGGCGAGGAAGCGGGGCGGGAAAGGGAGGCCGCTGGCGCCCAATGGGCCCAGCGGGCGGGGCGGCGCCTCTGCCGCGCGGCCGGCCGGGGGCCCTCGGCCCAGGCTTGGGAGGCAGCTCCTGGGAGGCCTTCGTAAGAGCGAGCAGGGGCGGGAGCTGTTGCTCGGCGCGTCGCCGCGGCGGCCCCGGCGGCACGCCGTGCCCTGCGAGCGGGCGGCGTGTCGCTCCGCGCCGCGGGGCGGGCGGCCGGGAACGGCTCGGGAAGCGGACGCCTCGGGAACGCGAAGTGGACAGCGCAACGCACCGAGGCGCGGTGGGCCAGAACCGGCGGAGCGGCAAGTTACCCGCAAGTTCCCGACTGTAAGGGCGATTGAGCCCGATTAAGCGGCCATTAAGCTAATTCTTTGCTAATTTGCGAAGCCAATTCTTATACACCACCACCGCCCGCAAAATAAAGAATCGCAAAAATGGCTGAAACAGGGTCATGCCAGACGAGGCTGCGACCCCGCGGCGACCTGGAGAGCGGCGCGGCGCCTGGGCGCCGTGGTAGGGGAGCTCCTGAAACTGACACAACACTTCTTGGTGGTGGTGTATAAAAATCGTTCCTCGATGTAGCCAAAACTATGTACACCACCACCGCGGGTGTTTTAATGAACTTCGTTTCGGTCCTTAAAAAGGAGGGGGCAGCCCAGTTGCCGATGGCGGCGGGAGGGGGGCTGGGGGCTTTCCACCAAATCAATCTGCAACAACTCGGATCTTAATTTTGTGCCGATCTTGGTCTTGGTGGTCATATGCTGTGCTCGTGAAATTGTTTGCTGAGTAAAGCCTCCCTCGTCCTCCGCCGCCTCCTCGCCCCATCCCCCCCTCTCCAAGCGATTGCGTTTGGCAAGCAAACAGGCTCTCGTGCGAATGTTGCACATTCGCGGGACTGGCCTCTACAGAGTCTAGATTTGCAGCATAGTCGCATTGTTTTGCCAATTCGTTTATCACTGGAATCTATGAGCCAACCGTGCTCATTCCGATTCCCTGCCGATGCGCCGTTGCTGGCGCCTGGCTTGACTGACTAAGCTGGATTTGGCCACATTCGGAACGGATTTAAGCCAAATAACCGGATCGGAACGGATTGGACAGAATCATGCCGGACGTGGCTTATTTCTGGTCACGGACCTGCCAGCGCCGATGCTGAATTTTTCCCCCCAGGAGTTGCATACGAACCAGGCGTCTCCAGAGCTGCGGCGGCCTACAGAACGAAAGAGGGTTGAGCCAGAACGACTACAGATCTGGCCATCGGCGGAAGGAGTTCTAGGAGGCGGTGGAGGATCGGATTGATGGCGCAGACCACCAGGGCCGCCGCTGTGGTCAGCTCGCCCAGCGCAGCCGAATAAGCAGGGTTGTTGTTGTTTTTTTTTTTCTCTCTCTCTCTCTCTCTCTCTCTTTGTATATATTTGTATATCCCCTGTTCTCCCTCTCCTGCCCCCTCCCACCCCACGTCTGTCCCGAAGATCAGACCCGGCGCCTCGCTGCTGTCCGTCCGCGTCAGCAGCTCCAGCCCCTCGAAGGCCGCGAGGGCGTAAAAATACTGGTACCTCGGCGTCTCCGGCCCGGTCGCTCCGCAAGGACTACCGCGCGCTCGCCTGGCAGTTGGGCTCTTCGCTGCTGCAGGTGCGCAGCCCGTGATTTGTCTTCTGGGAAGAGGAATTGGCTGAGTGCCACTGACGACTGGCTCGCAAGGGTGGTTATATGGCGCCCTGACCTGCAAGGGTAAGGATACAATGAATGGTGGTTTGTGGTTCCAGTTTCGATCGGCGGCGAGGACTTGATCTTCTTCTTCATCAGCATCATCATCAGACCAGGGGCGGGAATACTTGGAAGGCATCTACTATCGCGATTGCAGTTTCAGTCGGGGGGGAGTTGGGATATGATTTGAAACGTGGACGGCGAATACAAAAGGTAACTCCACCTTTTCCTCCTCCATTCCTTCTCCTAATAAATGACGTCTCCCTGTCGCACCCCGAAGCCAGTTTTTAGAGCGGGCCGGGCGTGTCGCCTGAGACTTCCTCACCCCTTATGACTCTGAAGCTTAAAAATGACAACAGCTTCACAGATGGAGAACGGGTCGTTTTCAAAATGTGGGTCGCCTTAGCGCCGCGCACATTCGTTTCAAAAAATTGCAAAAGCTTCACGGATTGGGGGCGGGTGGTTTTCAAAATGTGGCTCTCGCCTTAGCGCCGCGCACATTCGCTTTGAAAAACTACAAGCGCTTCACGGGTTGAGGGTGGGTCGTTTTCAAAATGTGGGTCTCGCCTTAGCGCCGCGCGCATTCTTTGCAAAAATGTGCAAGAGTTTCACGGATTGGGGACAGGGGGTTTTCAAAATGTGGCTCTCGCCTGAGCGCCGCGCACATTCGCTTTGAAAAACTGAAAGCGCTTCACGGATTGAGGGCAGGTCGTTTTCAAAATGTGGCTCTCGCCTGAGCGCCGCGCACATTCGCTTTGAAAAATTTTGCAAGCGCTTCACGGATTGAGAGTGGGCCGTTTTCAAAGCATGGTTATCGCCATAGCGCCACGCACCTTCGCCTTGACTAACTTTGCAAGAGCTTCACGGATTGAGGGTGGGTCTTAACGCCGTAGCGCCGCGCACATTCGTTTTTAAAAGTTCGCAAAAAGTTTCACGGATTGACGGTGGGTCGTTTTCAATAGTGGTTATCGCCTTAGCGCCGCGCACATTCGCTTTGAAAAACTGCAAACGCTTCAGAGATTGAGGGCGGGTCGTTTTCAAAATGTGGCTCTCGCCTGAGCGCCGCGAACATTCGCTTTGAAAAACTGTGCAAAAGCTTCACGGATTGAGGGCGGGTCGTTTACTAAAAGTGGTTATCGCCGTAGCGCCGCGCACATTGGTTTTGAAAGTTTGCAAGAGCTTCACGGATTGAGGGTGGGTCATTTTCAAAAAGTGGTTATCGCCGCAGCGCCGCGCACATTGGTTTTGAAAGTTTGCAAGAGCTTCACGGATTGAGGGCGGGTCGATTCCAAAAAGGGGTTATCGTTTTAGCGCCGCGCACATTCTGTGCAAAAATGTGCGAGGGTTTCACGGATTGGGGGCGGGGGGGTTCCAAAATGTGGCTCTCGCCTTAGCGCCGCGCACATTCGCTTTGAAAAACTGAAAGCGTTTCACGGATTGAGGGCGGGTCGTTTTCAAAATGTGGCTCTCGCCTGAGCGCCGCGCACATTCGCTTTGGAACCTTTGGAAGCGCTTCACGGATTGAGGGTGGGTCGTATTCAAAGCATGGTTATCGCCATAGCGCCACGCACATTCGCCTTGACAGACTTTGCAAGAGCTTCACGGATTGAGGGTGGGTCGTTTTATAGCGCCGCGACCATTGCTTTGAACATTTGCAAGAGCTTCACGGACTGAGGGCGGGTCATTTTCAGAATGTGACTATCGCCTGAGCGCCGCGCACATTTTCTAGAAAAAAACTGCAGAGTTTCACGGATTGGGGGCGGGTGGTTTTCAACATGTGGCTCTCGCCTCAGCGCCGCGCACACTATTTCTCAACAGTTGCAAAACTTGCACGGGTTTCCCATGGTCAACGTACCAGAAATGGCATTCAGGAAAGATTCAGAGGGGTGCGGGCGCGACAAGTATGTTGATTCGAAGTGTTGCGAAATCCACAAAATGGCGTTATGGCACGATTCCGGATCGTCAAGACGCAGCAGTCAGGTTGATCCGTGGCGTTGAAATCCCGAGAACAATGTTTCGGCATGCTTCAATATCTTCAACCAACGAGGCAGTTCCCTCAAAGGAAATGAACCGTTGTTGTTTACACTGGTCCACCTCCTCGCGAGGGGTTCCTGGGTTTTTTTTGGTGACCCCTCTGGCGCGCGAGCTGTGCGAGGAGGCGCGCAGTGTGGTTTATGTTCCAAGCGCGGCTACCTGAGTTCGTCGCCAACCCGTCTGCGGGGCTCGGCCTGTGCGCGATGCCGGCGTTGGTGGTACGTTCACAGCAAGCCGCCAAATCTGCAGAGGGTTTCGCATCCACGACGATCACGGGCAGCGCTTGATGCCGAGGCTGTTTCCTGGACTGGCGCCTCCTCCTCCTCCTCCTCCTCCTCCTCCTCCTCCTCCTCTTCCTCCTCCTCCTCCCCTCCTCGTGCCCCAGGGCCGTCGGGTCCGAGGAGGGCCCCGGGGCGGGCCGCGCGCGCCGCGGGCCGCGCCGCGCGCGCCCGCGCCCGCGCCCGCCGCCGCGGGCCGGGCCCTGTCCTTCCGCCCCGGGGCAGGGGCCCGCCGCCGCCGCTGGTGCCGCCCCGCCGCCGCTCCCGGCCGCCGCCTCTGCCACCGTCTACCGCCGCTCCTCCTCGGCGCTCCTCCTCGGCGTTCCTCCTCCTTGGCCTCGCCGCTCCTCCTCGGCGCGCCTCCTCGACGCCCCTTCCCCTCCTCGTGCTGGTGTTACCCTCGTGCCAGTGCTGTCCTCGCGCTTGTGCTGTCCTCGTGCTAGTGCTGTCCTCGTGCTGTCCTCGTGCTGTCCTCGTGCTGTCCTCGTGCCTGTGCGGTCCTCGTGCTGCCCTCGTGCTGTCCTCGTGCGTCCTCCTGCAGCAGCGCTGTCCTCGCGCTGGCGCCGTCGTCGTGCTAGGCCGCCGGTTCCAGGCCCAGGGGCGTGAGCCACGTGCGCGCCACCTCCCCGACCACGCAAGTGGCAATGGACCGGTGGAGAGTGCTGAGTCCCCTGTCGCCCAGGGCCCTCAGGCACTTGCTGCGCGAGCCATTTCCGGGTGGACTCGCCCATGGCTCCCGAAACTTCGAAGCCGAGGGGCTGGAAACCAGCGACTCCGTTGTATTTGCGGCGCTTGGCCTGTTCGGCCAGTCTCGCAGCGGTGCCTTGGGCGTGGACCCCTTCCCTCCTCCGCCGCATCATCATCATCATCACCATCATCATCATTATCATCATCATCCTCATCATCATCATCATCATCATCATCGTCATCATCACATCCATCATCAGCATCCGAATCAGAATCATCAGCAGCACCATCGTCATCATCACCATCAGCATCAGCATCATCAGCATCATCAGCAGCATCATCGTCATCATCAGCATCAGCATCATCAGCATCATCATCATCCTCAGCATCATCAGAATCGTCCTCATATGCATCATCATCAGCATCATCACAATCATCAGCATCGTCAGCAGCAACAGCAGCATTATCATAGTCGTCATCGTCGTCATGATCAGAATCATTATACTCATGATCGCCTTCACCATCCTCATCATCACCATCCTCATCAGAAGCATCACCATCAGCATCTTCATCACCATGTAATCAGCATCGCCATCGTCAGCGCCATCGCCATGGCCATTACCATCATCATCAGCAGCAGCATCCTTATCAGGATCATCCTCATTATCCGCCCACCCCTTGTAGGGTCTTTAGGCGCGTGAGATCGCCCCCCCCCCCATAAGCCCCCCCCGGGACCCCAAACCGGCAATTTGACCCCCCCCCCCCCCCCCCCCTCGTCGGATCCGACCCACCCCCGAACTCATGCGGGGCGGTCCGGGCCCCGCAGGCTCCGCCTGGAGCTCCAAGACAACTCGTCAAGCCTCCCAAAACACCCCCAAGTCGCCGAATGAACGATCCAAGACGCCCAAGAAGCCGCGAAGAACCCCCAATAAGCCTCCAAGGCTCCCCAGGAAGCCCCCAAGAAGCCGAAATCGTCGAATTCTGATAGGGATCGTACACTTTTCGCATAGACGCCTTCTCGGCCTTCGCGCCGTGGGCGAACACGCGCGAAGCAACCAGAACCGCTCCAAGACGGCCCAAAACTTTCCCAATATTCCCTCAATACGGCCCAAGAGAGCTCCAAGACGGCCCAAGCGGCGCCCAAGACGGCACTCAAGGGCTCCAAGACGGCCTCAGGAAAGGCCACACGTGGCTCCCAGGAAGCCCAGAGGCCTCCAAAAGGCACGGAAAAAGCCCCAAAGGTCTCCAAGAGACTGAAAAGAGACTCTGGAACGGCGTCCAGGAACCTTCCTTCAAAACTGACGCTCAGAGGCTCGCGGGAACCCTCCCCACGAGATTCCTACCGACATTCCCGACGCTTCTCACATTCACAACCCAAGCACGGCGGCGGGATGGGCCGAAGGTTGCGAGACACTGTCACAGAGCTCGACCGCACCGACAATGTCACACCCGGCAATTCGACTCACCGCCTGTACACTGCCTGCATATCATCCCCCCCCCTGGGCCTCCAAACCGAAACATCAACTACGAACTCCCTTCCGTTGCATTACCCCTCATCCTCTTCCTGTTCCTCCTGACGGCACCGCGCACTCGCGCGCTGCCACAAGCGCTGCCTCGGGTCTCACGCGCAGGCATTGCACTTGAGCGCAGGGTTTTGGTGGGCACGCGCGAAATGCGGCCCACCCGCTCACTGAGATGTTGGGGGCTCCCTCTCGCGAGCGCCGAAACACTCGTACGTTTACGAATGTCGAGCCGCAAACCCGACGACAATGCACTCCGCGCGCACAACTTTAGTGCTTCTCGTGAAATGATCACTCTCTTACCTATCGCTGATGTGCTGCTGCCGAGCGA